TTAACGTTTCAAAAGATTCAGGTGGCTGAGCAGGTTTGAGCTGGACTTTTCTACAGCTAAGCAGAGCTTGAAAGAAATTTCAGCCAATTTTGATGCTGGTTCCTGGTCACTGTCTCCCCCCGGTATGTGCCTCAGTATGTATGGTGACTTAGGCACATACAAAACTCATCGCTAAGGAAGAAGTTACTAAGTACTGCAGATGTCAGTTCTCTTTCTTGTTGAAAAGGATAAATCTAGTCAATACATCCTGTGTTTTCTGCTTGCGGGTGAAGGCTCTATGGGAACAAAACTGGCACGTGAATTACTCCACAAGCGTGGTTGTAGTGATAGCATTTCAGAATAAAGCTGGCTGCTGTAAACAGCCGTTTCATTTCTTGAAATTTGCTTTTGCCAGCACCTGCAAGCATCAGAGCTGGACTTAACGCCTCCTCAACGTTGCAGATGCTCTGTAGGCTGGGTCACTGCAACAACTTGTCCATCTGTCCTCTGTAAATAATGCAAATAATGTGCTCTGCTCCATTGTCCGGCTGTGTAGATACTGCCTAGTGTGTTAGCCATCTGTGCATCACTGCAACTCATAGACAGAGGGGCTGTTTTGGAGAGCGTATTGAGGCAAGTATATAGGTTGCAGTAATGGAGCATTCTCTAGCATTGGTGTATTTGCTAGAGGGACGGCTCAGTGACGTTCAGTCCCTGGCACTGAGGAGCTGGAGACTTTAGTTTTCCCAGAACTTCTGAAACCAAAGGCTGGGGGTTGTATGAGGCTTAGGGAATACTTTCAGGGGCTGAGAGTCCGCTTCTCAGTGGTTGAAGAATTTCAGATGTTCCTACCTTGTCCTAATTAAATGCCTTTTGATTTTAAGCTCTAAGAAGGTAATATATCATTTTTTTTTCCCCTTCCCCTCCTACACAGCACAGAGCTGACAGAGGTCTGAGAAGGGAATTCCTACATGTTGATTTTCTACAGAAATGTTCACTCACTCCCTCTTTCACTTCTTTTCAAACGTTTGCTTGTGGTAGCTGTTCCCTAGTTTGTGTTTGAAAGGCCATGGCTCCCAAATTTCCCTCACGTGATCTACCAGCTTTTTGCCAGATACATGTTGTTAGAGCATCAAGATTTGCTTTTTCTAGCAGCACTCACAGTTATTTTCAGGAACTCTTGAGAGTTCTCGTAATCTCCATGAGTTGTTTTCTAATGGCCTGGTCTACATCTCTTTAAATATGAGAGAAACATGCTCCAAAAGTCTTCCCATGGAAGATCTTAAAAGAACACAGGTGAGAAGACAGAGTGGGGAAAGACATGAAACCCAAGGTGCAAAGATGAAGAGGCTCTGGAAGTTTGTAGCATAAACCACCTTGTGAGAGTTGAAAGGATCACTGAACAAACTAAAGAGATCAAGCTATCAGGATCACTGAGCAAACTAAATAGGCTTCTGGTGTGTCAGTGTTTCTGGAGAAGAAGCTGTTATTAGTCCCTGATGTAGCTGTCGGTGCTAAAGGTAACTTGGCAAATGACCTTTTGCCAATCTGGTTCTTGTGCAATTTCAGATGTAGCCATTAAAGGTGGTTCTATGCTTTTATATACGCTAGAAAGTTAGCGTTCATTTCCTGGTCAAAATCTCCCCTGGGTATTTTTATTCTCCATTAACATTCCTTCTGGGGATTGGATTCGGGTCCTTTGCTTCCTGGCCTGTTCCTGTTCAGATGTTAATCAGCTGTTGCGTTCTATTCCAGTTACGCGTTAGCGATGTTAGTGTTTCTGGGCCACGCTGAGCTGTCCTGGCTTTTAAAAAAGGGTTAGGGAAGCTAAGCTACTCTTAACACAGCAAAGAGAGTAGATAATAAAAAGCATACTTAAGGATATGGAGTGCAACTGAATTAGGGGGACTGGGATCTTTGTGTTGTGGAAGGAGGGAGCAGGACTGTGAAAATAGTGCAATTCTGATTACTTTTAAGAGAGTTCCGCAGGGTGCAATGGGTACGGCAGACACATGATATGTCCGGTGGTGTTTACATTCAACAAGAACTATGTAAGACTGCAGAGTCTAGGGATTTCATTTTCTTTGGAAATATGTTAGGTGTTAAGTAGAGCTTGTTACATGGACTGTTGTTCAACAGCTAGCCTGATCCCTTTTTCTTGATAGCTCTTGGAATTGTTCCCACGCAGGGAAGAGGTTTCTGCCTAACAGTCAAGGTTAATTGGTATGGAAAAGCAGGTATGAGCAATAATCCTCCTGAAACTCGATTTTAATCCAAGAGTCACTGTAATGCTGTTACTCAGATCTGAATCGTGAGCATCAGGAATGAGCAATAATCCTCCTGAAACTCGATTTTAATCCAAGAGTCACTGTAATGCTGTTACTCAGATCTGAATCGTGAGCATTAATGTACAAGCAGAACTGAGAAGCGAGTTTCTGCACTAGGAGCTGTCATCCTTTTATTTTAAAATGAGCTTCAAAGTAGCCAGCAGCAGAATGGATCTGAATGTACTTTTAATTGAGATGCCTTCTCTGAATGAAAAGATCTTTCTCATTAAATGTTAAAGTGTCCTGTAATAACCGTGCAGTCATTTTCCATCATACTTGGCACCAGCAGTCTACAGGTGCTGCTTTTAACTTCACGCAGCTTGTTTGTCTGTCCTGGACAAGACCTCTTGACGCATCATCCATCTTGCTGATTAGTTGTCTTGGATCGGGCCTACTGCAGCAGCTTCTCATGTAGCCTGGCTTGAGACAGCAGAGGCCACGGGTTGCCTCTATCCGTAAGCACAGGAAGGCGACTGGACAAGTCTCTCTTGCTTTTGCTTCTCATGATGTTGGTGAAGAGACATTGTTGCCTCCTGAAGCAGGGTGTGCCAATGTCCTGTACTGGATATGTATTGGGAGTATAGGTTGGCCCACACAGAGTGAAAATTCCGGGTTAGCTGTGGTGATCAGGTATGTGGCACAGGACAGTAGCGGCATTTTTTTTTACATGTGGGTATTGCATTTGGAGTTTTCTGGAGTACACTGACTCTGAGATAACCAGTGAGTGTTTCTGTAGTGTTGCATTAGAAACAAATGTGACTGTGAAAGCGTTACAGAATGTATTTTCTCTGCCATACAAGTTTATCTTTCTGAATAAAAAGCAAGGTTAAAGAAATGCTGCTTCTAAGAGGAAAAGGCTGGAAAGATGACAGAGTGCCTGAAATAAGAAACATTCTCTGCAATGTAATCACCATATTTCTCTTGAGAAAGGGAGACTGCTGAGCCTGAATGTTGGTAAGCAGGGTGTTTTGTAAGGTCAGAAAAGGCAACACAAGAGAAGGTGATGATGAGGAAAACCCTGCAAGTCCTCTGCCTCTTTGCAGGGAATGTTCAGCTGCTGCAACAGCAAGCAGGCAGAAACTGTGTGCATCCTAGAATCAAAGCTAAGTATTAGCTACCTCAGGCCTCAAGGGACTTGCCAAGTATCAGGAAGACAGTAGGTGCTTACAAATGTTGCTTTTTTTTTTTTCTTTGGTGATTTCCCTTTTTGTCCAAAGGGTTCCTTTTTGGACCTTTTTTTTCGTATGTTATGGACCTCTTTTTTGTTGCTGGAGACAAAGTGGTGCTAATGGGTGGTGTTGTGGTTTTGCATACATGCCCAGTGGCTGTGAGCTGTGGGCCCTGTACAGAAGAGTCTTAAGCAATTCTGTGCTAGATCACATCTGTTCCTGGTGTGTGGTAAAGGTTTTGCCTTTCTCAGATCACACAGACAACGTAGCTACTCTGCAAGTGGATTTTACACTGAGGGATGCTCTCTGGTAAAAACAGCTAGAGTCAAGCTTGTATACTGCCTGTGCGGCTGCACTCAGTCACTGTCACTGCACTCCCTCACTGTGAAGAGGAAAGAGGTTGTGTCTGTGTGTTCTGTCATTGTGAGGGGGTGGAGGAATCCTCAACTTTTTGCATTAACAAAGCAAATCGTTAGGTTTCCACTGCGGTCTTCTGACCCTTTCTGTGTTCATGTCTGTTTGCCTGGAAGATGTGACTATTGCTGATCAGTGTGAGCCCAAGCCTTGCAGCCCTCACTGAGCCATTCCAGTGAAGCTGTAACTGTCGGTGAGCTTAGAAATGAGACTGGAACTACAGTGGGTAGTAGCTAGAAGACAGTAGAACTGCAGCTACTGCAGACGACAGCCTGCTAGGCAGAGGACTGTAAATGTTAAGGAATGTTACTGATGAGAGATGGAAAGGGCAGATAAAAGGAACCAGGAGGTTAAGGTTCCTCTTGTATTGCAGTGCTAATTAGAATAGCTGAAGAGCTACCTCCTGCTGTAGCTCCAGGCTAAAGTTGAGCTTCTCCAGGATAGTCAGAATGTGGACTTGACAGCAAGCTCCTTCAGAGAGGGGCTTGTGAATAGTGTGGTGAGCAGAGTTAGTGCCGCCTTCTGTTTCTGGGTAATACCTATATCAGTTTCTGCTTTGGAGCACAAGGTTCGTCTATTCTGCAGAGAGTTTCTGCTCCTCTCTGAAAGGAGATGTGGTGAATTGAGCCACTTTGGGATTCTCTCTCTGTGGTAGCAAAGGATGCTCAGGTGTTGTAGGCAAGGAGGGCTTAACTGTGCTGTTCAGTGCAGGGAAGTCTGCAGAACAAAATTAGGTTGGTGTGGCAGGGTGGTTGGAGCAGAATGATAGAGGCTGGATTCCTGGTGTTGGACAGGAATGTGGGTGGGAAAGCAGTGACCCCTGGAGCCATCTAGAAAAAACAGCTGCCTCTCAGAGGTCAGTTGCTGGTCTGCACAGGCATCCTGCTCAGTGGAGAGACAGTTAAAAGACCTTCTTTTTCTGGGACACAGTGAAGACACAGACCTTATTTCACTGGAAGGTCCTGGCATTAGATAGTAGCCTGGTGGTGCACCAGCTTGCTGCTGACTCCTGCCCTGGCACCTGGCTGTGGGTTGCTCTGCGCATGCCTGGCTGTTTCCATGTGTTGTGCTGATAGGTGACTGACAACAAGTTTCCTTTCTCATGTTTCAGGAGCCGTTGGCCAGATGCTGCTGGATGCTGACAGGGGAAAGCTGATTTGGAGACAAGCGGCCAGAAATGTTTGGACATGTCGTCACTTTGGATCTGTAAGTCCTTGTTTGAGGGAAAGTTGCCTGGAGGCGCTGTGAGTATTTAAGTGTTTCTGGAAATTCTCAGATCATGAGGGTAGGCTTCAAATCCCGGTATCTTTTCCAGGTAGGTGGGGATGAGATGGCAGGTAGCATAGTTCCTGGCTCTGGGGTAGGAAGCAGGACAGTCCTGTTTGATCCTGAGGAACTGTGTGCTGAGAGACAGGGAGGCCTTTGGTGTGCTCATTCTGAGCACCTCTGCAATGGAAACATGCATGGACCCATGGGTGCAGCTGTTCCTAGAAGCCTCTGCTTGTCTGCCAGCCCATGTGGCTGGTGGTTTTGCCTTGATGCTGAACCAGCTCCTGCTGGGAGTTGGTGGAAAAGCAGATTCAAACTGTGCTGGCCTGGTCCTTCCTGGAGGTGCATGTTCTCCCTCTCTCTCTCTTTACCCTCCCCGTACTTTACAGTTTGCCCCGTAGAGCACTTGTGCTGTTGTGAAGCTGTTTTTTCCTGTGCTAGTCGAGACCCGACTATAGCACTGTAGTAAGGAAAGGGGCCAGACAGCTTGTTGGGGCAGGGCCAGCGCTAGGGCACCTCTTCAGTTTGTTTTGGCAAAGCTTGAGTTTGCGTGGTCCTGGTTGCTTGCCTGTTCCATTCACCTTCAATCTGGTTCTCCCTGCGTGTGTACAACTGCTCCACACCCTGTGCTCCTGTCCTGCCTCCCAGGGCTTGGTGCCATTGACAGGGAAAAAGCAGCACAGCAGCAGAAGTGCATCAGGGGAGGGAAGGCTCCATTGCAGTCTCTCTCGTGCCAGGGGCAGAGTGATGGCCACAGAGCTATGCTCTTACAGCTGGCTCCCAGATCAACCCAATTCTCTTCTTGTAGTGATGGGTACCCTGGGCTTTGAACAGAGAGAAAGGTTATTTCTGAATTTGCATTGTATCTCTGGTTGGCTGGACACTATTTTACAGAAGCCTGTTAGCAGCAAGGTAGAGCATGGCATGCTGCTTGCTGGAAGTCAGAGAGTAGCTTGCCTTCCTCTGTCTTGGAGGGGTGGGTTATCACAGCTGTAGGCACAAAGACTGTAATGTTTTGGCTCAAACAGGAGTCTGATAATTGCCAGCTCATTTGTAGGTGAGAAGCATCGACTTAAAAGGAGATAATTGTTAGCATTACCAAACTTCTGTACTGAAGACTTCACAGTTAGCATCCCTCTGCAGTAGCTAGGAGGGTCCCATTTGACAGGAGGTTTAGTCCTTCCTGGAACCAAGGTTCCCTTGAAGCTATTGCTTCATGAATTTTGAATTTGTGTGATCCCAGCTGCCTGAGTGCCTTGGACGTCCTTGCCAGGTGCCTTTCTAGCTCTTGCTGGGTTATGTGACCCAGCTATCCTAAGCTAATTTAATTTACTTTCAGAAGATCTGATGTGGGTTGGGGCAGGTACCTGGAGTGAGATGACCATCCAATTGTCCTTGGTTATAAACATTCCCTGTTCCTTACAGATTTATGGGGTGAGATTTCAAACTGGCTGTTTTGATGGATGCTAAGCTATTTGTTTCTCTTCTTCAGGACATCTGAGTGAGTGTCCCTGCTTCATGAGGCTTCGAATTTGAGCCTAGGCTGGTAAGTGCTCAGGTCCTTGTGGGCTAGAGAAATTATTGTGATTTCAGCTTGGGATATCTCCATGTGCATCTCCTGTCCTTAGCCTGGCAGGAGTTGACAGAAGAGTCCCCTAGATCACCTGTTTGATGATGGGGTGTTGACAAACCTGCTTCTGGTCAGGATTTCAGCCTTCCTCTTTGAAGAAGAGAAATGTCTTCCCAGCAAGTCAGACCCATCTGTTTTGCTTGGGGATGCAGTGGAATGTGCATTTGGTATGCTGGATGTGATTTTTCTAAAGTATTGGAGATCTCTTCACCTACTTCAGTCTTTTTAGGAGCAGGGACATTGAGGGAATGACTGCAGCAAGGGGGATTTTCCAGCATTCTGATGGTGAAGTTTTACAGGTTAGTCCTAGAAAGTTGTTCATGCCTGTGGAAAGGTGTGAGAAGCTTTTTGTGAGCTTCTGTTTTTAGCAGAGTGGAGGACAGCTTGCAAAAGTTTCTGTGAAGTGTAAAGCCTGTTGTGGCTTGGAGCCACTCTGTGCTTGGTGCAGACACCTCACATTTACCAGTCTTCCCAGGGGACTCAGTCTAAGTGTCAAGAAGATACAGCTAGGGAAGAGTGGATAAGAATTGGAGAGAATTCTTGTGTCTCCATTTAGACACTTAACATGTAAAACTCCACTGGCCAGAACACAAAGCAAGTGAAGTCTGCTAGGTCACTGGCCCAGTGGTATCCATTGACTGCCTTGAAGGTATGCTAATAGGAGTGAAATGGCCCTGCCTGTAGAACAGGGGAGAGGGTGATCTGCTCCTGCCCTTTGAAGTGCTGCAGGTCAGGTACTGAGGATTGCAGAGATGCTAGGCTTGATCAGTGTTAGGATCCAGCAAGGGAAAGGGTTCCAGTGTAAGCCAAAAATGTCTGGGTTTGGGCTCTTTAATGGCTGGAGTGTCCTCCCACATAGTCCCTGCTGACAGTGACAGCACATGATCAATAACTCCTGCTCCAGCTGTCACTGCTGCCTGTAAGGCTTGCAGTTTCCATATTGGAAAAGGCCTTTCCTAAAGAGCCTAATCAATATGCTGCTGTGAGGTCTGTTCTCATTTGCTATATATAATCTGGATACACACAAACTACGTGAGTGAGTGTGTGTAGAGGGGGGGAGAGGATGTGCCAGCCCTCTGCTCTCACTGGCTGGGAGAAGGACACATCTAGCTCTTACTTTGCTCCCTCTCCTGCAGCTGCTGCTCAAGGCTTGTGGCCACATCCTTTCCCTGCTCTATTAGCACTCTGCATGGGGACCTACTCTGGGACGCCAGGGGAGCCGAATTTC